GGGTGGTGTTGTGTGGTTGGTTGCGCTGTGTGGCCTAGGGGGGGTGGGGGTTTGAGAGATGTGCGGGTGCTGCGGTGTTGATCTTGCGGAAGCGAGGTGGGTTGGGTTGACAACATGGTGCGGTGTCGTGGCGGTGGCAGCGGGGATATGCTGTTGCGTGCAGCCAGACTAATGCAGGGTGGACTCGGAGGAGGCGACTTCAGTGGTAGTGTGGGACAGAATGGTGTTTGGGGTGTTGGATGCAAGGTGTTGAGATGCTGGTGTGCTGGTATCATTGGGCGGAGGTGTTTGCATATGCTGCGGGGTTTCTGTGGGGGGTGTCGGAAAGAGGTTGGTGAGAGGGGTGGTGGCGGCAAGAGAGGTTCCAAGTCTCATCTATATGCATCTTCGGAGCGAGTTGTCTCCGTCTTCAAGTGTCGATCACCTCTGTTAGCTGTCTGGGCGAGCCGGCCTTCCGCATTTGGGAGCAGAGCAAAGATGAATTTGTGTACGAAGGGGAAGTCCTTGAAGTCTTCAAACTCGAGGATTCCTTCTACCGTAATCCTTCGGTTCTGAGCGATGAGATGCATGATTTTCATCATGTATTCTCTCATGAAGACGAACGAGACTTGTGCGAGGATGGGCTTTTTCCAAGATGTGCGCAACAGTGCTTGGAATTCCAACATCCTAATTCTGTTAGAGGGCGCGTGCGGGTCCAGCTTGTCCAGGTTTCCAATCACGTACCACGGCATGTGGTCAAACCAGGTGAAGCTCTTCTCGCATCCCTGACAGTCGCACTTCAGGTAGGGTCTTCTTGCGTTCCACAACTTCTTTAGCTCGGGCAGGTCGATCGGGAACTTGGGGATGCCTTTCTGATGCAGCAGTGGCTTCTTGGGGCACTTCCCTTTCTCCATTTTGGATATCGGGAGAAAATCGTCGTCGAGGCCTGCTCTCAGGTTGGCTGCTGGGAAGTGGATCGTGTCATTCCTAGCAGCGGTGCGGTAGTTGTCGATGTCTGCCATGCATAGGCCGGCTAGTGCCATGTATGCTTCTACGCTGATAGGTGCAACGTGGTTGAAAGTGTCCAGCTTCCATAGGCAGTTATGTACGCGCTGGACCGCTTTCTCAGTCTATATGCTAGATGCGAGTGGCAAGAACGGACTGTTCTTGGCAAACTTATGGCTTGCGTCTCTGCCTGTGGTGGTGAGGTCCATGTGTGCGTTGTCTCTCCTCTTTGCTTCCTTTCTTCTAGAGTACTCAAGTTCCACGGGAGTAAGCGAAATTTTGCTGATATATGAATCAGAGAATGTTTCGCTCCTCTCTGCAGTTGAGACTCCTCCGGCGGCGTCGAGGTGCGAGGCATCATATCCGTGGATCTCAAGGATGATTTTCTCGGCCTTCGCGATGATCAGGCTAATCTCTCTATTTTCGATTGCAGACTTCATGCAGACCTCTACGATGTTGCTGGCGAATTCTCGAATCTTGCTATCCAGATCTTGAGGTCTGGTCTGCAAGACGCAGACGAGCGAGACCCAATCACTAAAGAAAAGGTTCTCGATCAAAAAAGGAGTTTGGTCATTCGTTGCTTCGTGGAGTTGTAGAAGGACGTCAGCAAGAATGGCTAGCATGGCGATTTGGCAGTGTACTTTGGGTGGCTTCAGCGCTAAGAAAGGCCTAATGTATGGGGCCAGTTCTAGGTGCCATCCCTTTTTGATGCTTTCTTCATCTTGCACGTCGTAAGAAAGCGAGTAGGTGATTAGTTTTGTAAAAGGTTTTTTTTGCTGATTTCGGTTTAAATTTATTTTTTATTATTTAAGAAAACAAAGCACGGGACAGTGGTTGGGTTATCATATCATGTTTAAGAAAAGGCACATTTTGGTTCAGTAATTTTATAAGTTAGTTTTTGAGGTGCCCTATTGGGTAGATGAGAAGGCAAGTTGTTTTCAGTTGAGGTGTTCAACTGTAGATATGTGATTATGCAGATATTGTGTTGGGTAAGACGCAGTATGGGAGACAGGTGGGGAGCATTTTAGGATGGAACAAGGGAAGTGTTTTCTGAGAAGGTCAATTGTTTTATTATATTTATGTTTTTATGTTCTTATGTGTTTATCGTTTTTTTGAGATGTATGTATATGGCAGTTACTTAGATTTCAGCTTTTTTGCGAGCATATGTGGTGTTTGTCTTTTTTATTTTTTGCTTTTATTTGTTTATTTTATTAAAAAATAATAATAAATTTTAAGTTTTTCTTTTTAGTTTTAAAATTTTAACTTATTTTTATTCTTATTATTATTATTTTATATTTTAATTTTAATTTTTAATTTTTAATTTTTTATTATTTATTATTTATTTATTATTTTTATTTAGGGTGGTGGTTAGCTAGGGAGTGTCACGGCTCGTGTTGTGTGGAGCATGTTGGTATGAGGTGTGTTTTTTATTTTTTATTTTTTATTTTTTAATTATTCTTCTAGGCTACCAGAGTGACGAAAATCGAAGCATACGCGATAGTCGAGCATACGCTCAAACAGATGCGTGATATTTGAGGATCATAGCCAAGCAACTTCACGTGAATAGAAGTGATTCAACAAGAAGAGAGGGAGGGAGAAGAGAAAACACCCGCAAGTAGCGCAATAGTAACCAAGCTTCCGAAAAATATGAGTAACAGCACATGGATCGTGGTCGGCGAAAAACCCGACTAGTTTCGGCCACCTCGCCAGAATGGCCATTATCAGGAGATGATTGCGCCTTGAGAGTGGTTCTAGCTACAGGATTATATACTAGAAGTAGCATTGTTTCCCCGTCCATCGTTATCCTTAGTCGACGATCAAAGTATCCTGACCCCGCGCGCAGCATGCTGGAGGTCTTCGGGAATCAGATTAATGATAAGACAGAATGTAGTCGTGATTTCGGGTAGATGCAGATTCGAGATCTAGCGGGAGGAGCAGAGGAAAGTCTAGACAGGAAGCAAGAGAGCGGGAAGGCAAGTCCGATGCAGAAAAACGGGCCAGGTAGTAGAGATGCAGTCTTACCGTGAGGGAAGCGGGAGGGTTTGAAGGAGAAGTACAGAAAGTAGAGGCAGGAGATAACCAGGGGAGGAGAAAACGTTTTCCCGTTTGTCTCAGCATCACGCTAGCTTGGCAAGGTCCCCGTTCTGATCTTGGCAGGCTAACTCCATATCCGACGAAAAAGTTGTGTGCGTCGGCATGCAGGTATTAGATATCCAGTCGCAGAGCAATCTTCGCTTGGCGCAGCCTAGATACCGTATTCAATCGTCCCGGCCTATTTTTCCTTCCTTTTTTGTCTTTTCCCAACCCTTTGGAGAAAAATTGGACCCATTTGTCCCAGCATCCCTCGTTGCTTGCTGAAAAATCCTTCAGAGCCTGCAGGAACATCCATTTTGGAAAAAGCTTCTGTCGCAGTTCCCGCCTTAATGCCAGCAAACACGGGCCCACTCCTCTGTGATCGGAGGAGTGGGCCATGATCTTGCTGAGGTGATATTTAATAACACCGATTTTCTGGATTTTTGGCTCATATGACCAGTAATCCTGTGTTGATTGAAAAGTGATACTGCCCTTGTCCCAAATGTCAATCTGGTTCTTCATCACAGCTTCACATCGAACAGCCGAAGGGAAAGTCTGAGTAACCACCTTACATCCCAAAAAGTCGAGAACCCCGCTACGATTATCAGTCCTCATAACTGTGAGATTAGAGTTGTAGATCAGACGGAACTTAGAAAAAACATTTCTTGCTCTACCTAGGGCTTTCTCAGAAGAGTTGTGGAGGATAAGAAAAATAGCCACATCATCTACCAGCCTAAAACCGGCGATCAGTCGACGATCATTTCCTAAGGAGTTGAGAAAACATAACTCTTGGTGAGTGCAGAGGAGACAGGCGATGGACGGGCTAGAACTCTTTTCCATAGGGATTCCTACTGTTTGTCAGATGATGAAGGAAGAGACCTTGGAAAAGGAGTGTTCTAAATCGAATTTAACGAAATCAACAAGAAGGCAGAACTTAATTTTGACCCAACCTCTTTCTCCATGACCCTTCCCTAGCACTATGCCTTTGCCTCTCCTGTTAACACGTACAGCATTGTGTCCTTTAGCCATGAAGAAGTCGCACACCCATTCTACTGCCGTAATGATCTCATCATGCGGCAGTTTCGTGAACATTTATTTTATATCAAAGCTAGATGAAAGTCAAAATCCATCTTTCATCATTTTCACCTTTTGACCCAAGATCATGATTCGTTTTTTCAGCAGGTTAGTGCTCTTGAGGTTAAAGTGACTGTGTTCCGGAATCCTCCACAACAGACTATTGATAGCTTTAGCTATTAGTTTGCAGGTTTTCATTCTCGGCTCAAAAAAGGAAGGAGCTATAGGTCTTCACTTGCTAACATCTTTGTGTTTTGGGATTCCGTAAGCACATCCCAACTTCCCTTTTCCGTTCCATGGAGCCTGTGCCTGGATGCGCAGAAACTTATGTTTGCAGACCTTCAGAATCTCTTCCTCTGACCGTTGATCAATCACAAAACCATTGTTTCCCCAATAAAGGTTCTTAAGCGCCGAATAGTAAATGGAGGGGGAACATACAAATGAATCCCCTATATTGTGGTCTATTGGTGCCACTGCAAAGCAACTCAGCGATGTTTCCCAGAAATCGGGGTCATCCACAGTGGTTGAACATCCCTGTAAAGACTCGATAAAACAAGAATGAAGGGTTCCATTCCCTCCCACCCAGTTGTCCGTACGTGGGATGGTAGCTAATCCATCGATCATGGCTCTTCTCAGTTTCCCAACAGATACAGAATTCCTAGGTTGGAGTATGTTGTTAGCATTTTTGAGAGACAGGGGTATGAAATCCATCTAAGAGAAGCGAAAAGCTACATGTCCATCTTCATTTCGGGGAAAACCCTCGCAAGCATCAAGGCAGGGACAACATGTCTTTTCCATATAGGACAATCTTCTATGATCGTGCAGTCTTTCGGCAACGGATTTATTGGTTGTCCATACGATCTTCAATCTAGAAATTTTAAAATTTGTTAGAGAATTATTCGAACAACGTTTACGGACAACGCTATTTGCCAACTCGTACACTTTGACTTTCCAAAATCGATCGTGATACGGAATCCGTACAACTGCAGGAGCCAAACATCGGAAACCACAAGTTTTAACCAAGGTCCGTCCAACTACCCCTTTTAGAATGGACTTCGAGCGCTCCTTGTGAAAAAGTTCAATAAAGTTATATAGTTTAATCAAATGACGAAACCTAGTTTTATACAGCACCTCCCTTGTACTGGGTACATTGAGCAAAGTGACCAGAATGTCACACCTAAGATTGGAGAGGTTACCTCGGCGTCTTATCTTTAAGAAACAAAAACTCCCACCTGCACACAGTTCTTGTTTCAGATTTTTTAAAATGGTTTTACGCCCTTCAAATTCTACGACAGACCATTGGATTCCATAGAGTCGATGCAGTCTACTCCATGAATCCAAGAACCAATCCCCTCCAAAACTTGCCACCACAATATGCAAGACTCCTGCATCAAACACATTATTCAACAATCTCAACAAGGAAAAAGAAGTTGAAGATGAGGACCAAGGATGAGGGACTGGGAGTGACACTGAAGAGGTCTTCCATCTAATCGGCTCCCCAAAACAGATGCCTTGTCCAGAGTACCCTTGTCTACGTGAAAAAGATAGTCGTTTTCTGCGTCCCTTCCTACGACATTGTCTTTTTTTCTTTTTCACACAATTAAGGACAGGTGACCATCTAGAAATAAGAAGATCCTCAACTTTCCGTATCTCCTCCCCAGGCGATAGGACAACAGGTATCGCTACGTAACTGGACCAGTTTTTTCGTTGGAGCCATCTATGCAGCCGGTGATTTCTGCCATCGCCCGAACTTAATGATCGCCGTATATGCTCCTCCCACCTCACTCCTATGGTTCTAGTGGTTGATCCGATGTATAACGCCCTGAACTAAGGCGAGATGAGTACATATACACATGGTCCGTCAAACTCACATAACTGCTCACCATCTTCCAACAAAGTTTTCCACCCACTTACCAATTTGTTAGCCCAAGCCAACTGTTGCGACAATGCCAAAAACAGAACTAGGAATCTCATCAGTTGATCACAATCACGTGCTTCACCCCCCCGCCAGCCAATCCTTTTCCTTTCATTTCTCACCTTTTCTAATTCTAAGACGGAGGGGACGTCAACAGATTATCAGGAGGGATTCTCCTCTTGGATCTCATCCTCGGATTCTTCTTCTTTAGAATCTTCGCCATAGGCGTCGATGGCTCGCAGCCGAGCCAGCGCAGCACTTGTGATTTTCTTGTTCACATATTTGATTTTGTCTTTCTTGCAGAGCTCCTCCAGTTCATGCTTGGTCTTGGCGAAAAGCACCTCAGATAGATCCTCCACGTACTTCTTTCTGCCTTCCTTCCCAGGTCCAGCAACGGCAACTTTCTTTCCTTTGTTGACACGATCAAAGCCTAGTTCTTGGCTAGCTGGTTCATTGATGGAAATGTCGTTGGAACGCCTCCTGGTTCCATTGCCTGTCACAGATGCGAACATCCCTACCAATCTGGCAGAGAAACCACCTCCTGTGGGAGTCTCATTGCGATCAGTCCGTGATTAGAAAGGTCCAGGCTCAATGGCCGTTCCACGACGACTAGGGGCAAACGTCGCAGGAGGAGGCGAGGCAGGAGTTGGTGGATCATGAATCGGAGGAGGGGGAGGAGGAGGGGGATGATTAGGAACTGGAGGATTATGTGGCGGAGCAGGAGGAGGAGCCTGATTAGAAGATTGAGGTGCAGAATATGCTGGAGGAGGGACGGGTGGAGGAACAGAGGTTTGGGGTGCCTGAGGCGCATTTCCCATCCCAATTCCCTGAGACTGTCCACCAGGACCCGTTGCCGGAGCTAGACCAGCCCCTTGCTGTCTGATGGCTTCAAGGCAGGAAAACATCTGATGAAACATCGTTGTCTGCGCTTCTTGTGCCTTTCTCACTGTACCGATGTCCATCCTGACAAGTCCGGTGTGCAGCGGAGTGACGACATTTTCCTTTCGTGGTCTTCCATTCCCTTTTTGCTGCTGGTTGTCCAAACCCCCTGCCATATTACCCGGATCTCTTTTCTTACTGTCCCCAGCTTCCCCTCCTTTGTTACTCTCTCCTTCCCGTGTTTGATCAACCTTATCCCATTTTTTCTTACTCGTTTCAGCGGATCCTCCTTGTTTCTTTGCTTCCATTTCCTCTATTTGCTCCCTTAATAATCACGCTAGTCTAGCTTCACGGTCCACTTCCCGTTTTTCTTCCTGTTCCAGCCTTCTTTCTTCTTCCTCCCGTGCAAGCCTTGCCTGTAATTCTCTAACCCTACGATCCTCTTCCTCACGCCTCCTTTCTCTCTCTTCTCATCTCTCGTTCCAAATCTCCCAGAGAATCATAAGCCCTTCACTTTCACCTCCGGAATCTCGTGGTCGATTGTTCCATCCTCGTTGGCCATTCGCATTAGCAGTGCCGCGTGGCTGCTGAAATGGAATCTGCGGTGGAGGCAAATAAGGGATAATGGCATTGGAGACGTTCGAAGCAGTCGTCGGCGGTTGCAGCAGCGGAGGCGGAGGCGGTTGTTCAAACCGTGGAGCGAACTGTCCAGCAACTTGATTACTTGGAGCTTGCTGGCCCGAAGCTGGCGGATGAGGTGGCGTAAGAATCGGTCGCCCTTGCACGAAGCCATCATTCAGGATCGGGACAGCATTCGCGTCCATACTCGGGGCTACGTAACCGTTTCCTCATGGCGACCCAGCAAAGCCGTTGTTACGTGGCGGATAAGGACACCACCGCGCGAAATGACCATACAACCCACAGTTGTAACAATTGCGGTTAGGACCGCCATAACCCCCGTCCGCCATCCTTCCACCCGCTTTCTTACTGATGAGGTGCAACACCGTAAGCCTTTGATTAATCAAGCGTTCTATTATTGCTAAATAGCGTGACTTTGTACACGAAGAAAATAATCTCGATTACGACCTATGCAAGACAATAGAGTATAAAGCAGGAGGGAAGATTAAGAACACGTGTCGCTGCGCAGCCTTCCTGAAGTAGCTCCGTACAGAGCAGGCGTCTCCATCACTCCGCGACTAACACGGTGGTTAACACGCTACGCTAAGACGAAAATCGAAGCATACGCGATAATCGAGCATACGCTCAAACAGATGCGTGATATTTGAGGATCATAGCCAAGCAACTTCACGTGAATCGAAGCATACCAGAGTGGCCCGGGGTCACTTGCCCGGCCGGGCCAAAAAAAATTAAAATAATAAAAATAAAATAAATATTTTTAAATTTTATTTTTTATTCTAAATTTGGTGAAGAATTTCGATGTGACCCTGTGGCAAAAGTTTTTCAGTTTATTGCATATCATAATGTTTTTTGGGATTTTTTGTAATTTTTTTTTTTTTTTTTTTGGGGGGTCTTCCCTGGTCCTTCCACGGACTGGCCACCGGGGACTCGGGCGGCCCGGCTGGTAGCCTAGTTATTTAAACTTTTTTTTTTTTTTTAATTATTATTTTATTTTATTTTTTATTTTATTATTATTTTTTTATTTTTTTAATTAATTATTATTTATTATTTGTTATTTTTTATTTTATGGGTTATGTTTTATATTTAATGTAGTCTTAAGCTCTAATAGTGTATGATCATACTATGATGATTATAATACTGGATATGGTTTTTGCCAGGGTTGCCAGCGTTCGGGACGGGCCGAACGCCCGAACCCGAACGCCCGAACGTACGGGACCCCTTCGGAAGGCGTTCGGTCGAAGTAAGAATGACTTAGAAGCAGGCGCAGACCTGCGACTTGGAGTCCATGCACACATGACTAATACTCAGAAAATAGCTGAGTACGTTTATCACAGAATCGAAAGAATTCTCGATAGCGATGACAAAAAATAAACAGCTTCGTCTCCCTCGTCACTTTCGATACTCAGACCGCAATGATAGAAAAACTTTGACGAACGTAGCGGTCGCAAGGCGTCCCCGAAGCCGCTTTTCGGCCGTTGCCACCGGCCTTCTCAAGGGGAGTTTGTCGACTCCGGTCTGAGGGACAATCCTAGAGTTAACCTCCAATGTATAGTCTCAGCCTCACCAGGTACCGGGCCCGGAAAGTCCAAAACGTTGTCCCAATGTCAGTAGGAAACTTATCAAAGGAACTCTAGGGGGGTACCAAAAAAGTACCCTGATTTTCGTCAGCGTTAACCCTTGCTGCCAGTGCCCTCCATTCAGGCGTCACCCGTAAGCTAAACCTTATCAAAATTTTCTCGAAAAGGTTAGCAGGGCACCCTGATTTTCGTAACTCGCGTTTCAGCGTGAGTACTCCTTCTTCAGCCCCAATTATTGAAGTACAACTGTCCTTAATCCTGTGCAAGGTGCCATGAACTAGCATCCTCTTCTGCTTCATACTAACAAAGGACTCAAAATCTTGAAAGCATTTGTACTTAAGGGCGCTATCATTGTCCCAAATTTCTTCGAAATTTTTGGCCCTGTACCAACATCCTACTCTCCCTCTTTCACCCTTTCTGTCATCTGTTCTCTTAAGAACCAACTTCTTATCATAGGCCTTCTCGAACTTTTCCAGTAGTTTCCCAACTTTCTCTTCCCCGAACCCACCTTTCTCTTTACGAAAACTGATACATCGTCAACCAAATTAAATACCACGAATCATTCTTCTGTCAGCGCCTAATCCGTTCAGAAACAGACATTCGTAGTATGCACACAGAATACATGCAATAGGCGTACTTGATTTGCCCATTGGTATTCCTTCTTTCTGTTTCATGAACCTTCCCGACGCGGAGAAAAAATGTTCTTAAGATCAAAGTCAACCATCGATCTTATATGCTCAAACTCAACCCTCATCCATCGATCATCTCCCCTCTTTTGTGCAAAAGACGCCCCTCTTCCTCTAACCCTCACCATGACATGATTCCTGCCCAAAGCACTATAGTGGGAGATAATCCAATCGACAGCAATCCAAATCGAATCGTGAGGCAGCTTACTAAACATTTCTTTTATGTTGTAAGTTGCTCCAACGGCTTCATAGTCCTTTCCGTCATCAAGCCACTTGTTCACTTCCCTCAACCTATCCTTCAACAAATTAGTTGATCGAAGGTTGAAGTGCATCTTTTTTGGCAAGACAAATAGCATATGATTGAGTGCTTTGGCTACACGACCATTAGTTGTTTTTGCCGGCTCAATGAATGACGGACTAATCGGTCGAAATTTCTCCTCATCTTTGTGTTTCGGTAGTGCATAGGCATTCCCCCATCTACCCTTTCGGTCCCATTTACCCACGACTTTCAGACCTCTTTCTTTGAATTCACTTTTACACATCGCTAGTACATCTTCTTCAGTCCTCCAAACGGGCTCGAAAGTAGGGTTTCCCCAAAACAAACATTCCATCCCATGCGCATAAAAGACTAGACAGCATACTAGTGTCTCGGCAATAGGGCATAGAACAAACCCTTCCCATCGCTTCTTCATCATACGAATTTCGTCGAGATACCAATTACTACCAGTCTTTCTTTTCTCCTTCCTCAAGCAACATTTTGCCTCCCCAATCGTACATCTCATTTCAAGCCCTGATCTAAGTAGACCATCATGCATCTCCTTGCACAACACCCTTTCCCCATACTCACTGTCAATGTTTCAAATAACATTCTTTGCATTACACACAAACTTGCTAGCATTGTCCCTGCTACTTAGTCTAAAGACCACGTGCCCCTTCCTCTTCGGAATCCTCTTCGGAAGGGAAGAATCTGCGCAATTGCAGACAACAGCCATTTGTCGGCTAGCCGATCGATGGTTATGAAGCAAAGTCCCGACAGTCTGGTTGTTACGCCATACAAGTCGTAACCTGTGGCACAGTAGCCTTGAAACTTCATTAGACCCATATTGTCGTTCAATTTTATTATTAACAAGAGACCTAATACCCGCTTTCGAGATACAATCATCAAATCTTACACCAACAACAATTTGCTTCTTCAGACTAACACCCCATTTCTTTCTGGCAGCCGCATTAATCACGTTTTTCAACGTAAATCTCGTCTCACTCCTTGAAAAGGAACGTACATTAGAGAACGCAGTGGCAAGCTCTACAAGGCTCATACATAGCAGTCTTTTACGTGTCCAAGGTTGTTTTAGGAGTCCATGCAAAAGCTTCCGCACGTCCGGAGATCCAGGTTTCCTTTCCTTTATCCGGACAAACATCAGCTCGCCTCCCATTTCCAACTCATTCTTCAATTTTGAGAGCTTTGTAACCCTTCCTTTAAACAGCACATCAGACTCCCCGTACCTCCTTTTTACCACACTCCATTTCTCAGTCCATATCCTTCCCCCTTTCGATACGATCCTCCTACCTTTCCTCAATTTAGCATCAGCAATCGCATCTGACAGCTTCCCAAAAGTAACACCCACATCACTGATGAACTTGGCCACTTTCTCATTACGGACTTTTCGTTTTCCTGAGCTTCGCCTCTCTTTCTTTCCCTTTCGTCCCCTTCTCCTTCGTCTATTCACTCCCTTATCCCGTCCAACCACATTCAAACACGGCGACCATCTCTTAATCATTCGAGATTCTAGTGTAACTAACTCATCCTTACCACAAAAAGCAACAGGCAACGCTACATAAGTGTCATACCCCCACTTTCGTAACCATGCGTAGAGCTTATTAGATCTACCCTCATTACATGACATTGTCCTACCGACTTGTTCAGCCCATCTCTCCTTCAGAGAGCATTCGGTCTTCCCCACATACGTAGGCTTACACCTAACATCCAACAACACATATACACAACATTCAGGATTATCCCATCCTATCCTATTGTTATCAAAAATATCGCAAAAGCAATCCAGGAACTTATTCCCCCAACTAATCTCACCGCACAGCAAAAGGTAGAGTAAGCAGCTCCTAAGAATTTCCTCAATGAGAAGTTTCATGCTCTTAGCCTCAGTCCTACCCACGTACTGTCAGCGGGCAGCGAGGAACTCGCCAAAGATCTGCCATGCTTCACTTGTCGTCAGTATCGACGTTTCGGACTTGTTCAGTGCCCCTTATCTCGTCACACACAGCTTGAGTGTCGGGGCCTGATGTCCCAAGGATGCGTCTTCCACGTACCCAGTACATCACTCTTGTCTCGGTGAGATCATCGATCGCATCCTTGGTGCTAAGGTACAGTACGCCAGCTCCTCTACACATCGCTTTCAAAGTCTCTGGATAGAAAGTTGAGAGTGCTTTCGACACCACTTTCCGATAACTTTCCTCCGCCTTGTACTTGCTACATGCAGGAACGCCTTCCCACGGGTCATTGCCATTCAGGATGCGCTTCGCTTGGACTTCAGCCTTCGTCGATCGTCCTCGTCCCTTTCTTCTGCTCGTGCTGGCTGGGGTCACTTGCTCGTCTTCAGGGCCTTCACACCTTCCAACTTTCAGAGGAGTGTCAACTGGTGGGCTATTCTCCATAGCTCCTGTAGAGTCCCTGCGCTTTCTCTTATCCCGAAGAGGTGTTTCAGGATCAGAAGCTTCAGCTTCCTCGTCATCCGAGCTTCGCATCTCAACGACTTGTTGTTTTCCTTTCCTTTTTCCCTCCGGATTCAAGTCAATCTTTCTCACGAGTCGCTCCATCTTTTCCAACTTCTTCTCATATTCAATCTTCTCCTGTTGCCTCTTCTTTTCACACTCCTCCCTTTGTTCTGCTAATAGCATCTTCAGCTCCCACTTTCTTTTTGCATCCTCATCCTCCTTTTCTTTCTTCCTCGCGACTTCCACTCTCGCTTCTTCTTTCTTCGCAGCCTTCTGCTCATCCTCCCTCTTCTTTTTCTCTTCCTTCAATCGCTTCTCATTCTCAATCGCTTTATCCACCGCACCAGCCCATTCACGGACGTAAGTGTCTCTTCCACTTGCTTCGGTAAATTAACCACAGGAGGGTTACCTCCCCCCCTATATCCTCCTTGGTTTCGTAACCGCGGACATTGGCTCTTATAGTGGCCAGTTTCACCGCACTCGTAACATCGGACAGGTTGTCGGCCTCCTCCATATCCTTCATTCCAACTACCCCTCCCTCCTCCATTCCCACTTCCGGAGCCATAATCCCGTCGCTGATTCCATCCTCTGTCGCAGTCAAAACCTCCCCATCGGCCTCCGTCGTCGTACCATTGATCCTGCCCGCGGCCTCCTCGTCCATAGCCTCCTGCTCCCCCGTTACTCATAGTCAACAAACCGGTAGCTCCCGGCTCCTACTCCTGCTCCAATCGTCAACCAGCTGGGTACACACTAGCGGCGCTAAACGGTGCCTATCTTCCAGCAATACGTCTCCTCATCGGCTCACTTGCAACACAAGTAACTCACTAAGTACAACACCTCCACCAGATTCGTCGAGTCGCTCCCTCGGATGGTTGAGGCGTTGAGATACAGTCGAAGTAAGAATGACTTAGAAGCAGGCGCAGACCTGCGACTTGGAGTCCATGCACACATGAACAATACTCAGAAAATAGCCAAGTACGTTTATCACAGAATCGAAAGAATTCTCGATAGCGACGACAAAAAATAAACAGTTTCGTCTCCCTCGTCACTTTCGATACTCAGACCGCAATGATAGAAAAACTTTGACGAACGTAGCGGTCGCAAGGCATCCCCGACACCGCGTTTCGGCCGTTGCCACCGGCCTTCTCAAGGGGAGTTTGTCGACTCCGGTCTGAGGGACGATCCTAGAGTTAACCTCAAATGTATAGTCTCAGCCTCACCAGGTAACGGGCCCGGAAAGTCAAAAAAGCGGTCCCAATGTCAGTAGGAAACTTATCAAAGGAACTCTAGGGGGGTACCAAAAAAGTACCTGATTTTATTCAGCTTTAACCCTTGCTGCCAGTGCCCTCCATTCGGTCGTTCAGGCCGAACGCAGACAAAAAAAAAAAAAACAAAAAAAAAAAACAAAGTTTTCAAAAACTTCCAAACAAAACATATGTTATGGAGAAAAATAAACTAAACAACATTTGTCCGGGCACTACATCCAAATTCTTTACCACATTTGAATTAAAAATCAAATACAGAAAATAAACACTATGATAAAAATAAGTAAAAATAAAAAGAGAATTAAAATGAGTGAGTGTGCCAACACCTTTTCGACACCGCCATCTTTGCCGATTTTTAATTATTTTTTGGCACTGACAAATGCCCTGAAAATTTACAGATATGCAGTTTACATAATCAATAACTCAGTAAAAAGTTTTCAAAAAATAATAAAAATGTTTAGGCCCCGAAATAAAGTGAAAACAAAAAGTTAAAAGTGAAAAAAAAAACAAAATAGTGAGTGGGCGAGCACGTTTTGACACCCCCATCTTTGACGATTTTTAATGTTTTTTTAGCTTAGCAGAATGGCTTCAAAATTTATAGGCGTGTAGGCTACATCATAGAGAACTGACAAAAAAACATCAATAAAAAAGACTTATTTTTAGGCCCCGAAACAATTTATTTTTTCTACCAAAAGAAGGGCCCTTTGCCCAAGGCTATTATTATGAACATTGCCGGGAAACGGGCCCGGCGTCCCTCACAACATCTGAACAGCCCAAGGCTTGCTCCCTGCTACTCCGGCCGGGTGCAAGTCCAGGCTGCCGAAACGACACGTTTACAACCCATTTCTTAATAGGACTAATCTAAAACGTCGTAATCCCGCCTATCTCACAGTTGTTCTAATGTTATGTAGAAAGAAGCACCAACCCTAGTCTGATGAAAGATCGACACTTATAAACCCATCGGTAGAGATTATAAGACCACCGTTAGAGTGTACTTACAGGATAGGGACCTAGAAACATATCCCTACTCGTCCCTCAAACGAAAAACGAAAACGAGGGTAGGCCACACCCAATCCCAAAATTTGCCAGAAACGCACATCCCGTCTAAAGAAAACCAACTCTACCCGAGCCCCTTACAATCTACCCGAATTCCAAAACGCTACTAAAAGGAAAACTCAAACCAAAGTGTAACCCTAATTCCAGAGACACGAGTGCATAACGCCACCCTCCCTCAGTCATCCGTTCGCTCGTGTGCAATTCTACATGACAACTCGTGGCGATATACACAGAAAAGAAGCCCCGCTTCCACCAACAATAGCAAAGGATCTGTATGGCATTAAGCAGAACTTCGTTTCCCAAGGTATTACCAAAACAAAATTGAACGCAACACTGCACCACTGAATTTACCGAAAACTAAACCGAGCGAACAGGAAACATCCATCATAGAAGAAGCCCCACTTCACCACCAATAACACAACAGAGCACACGCATACAAAAACGAAACACGACATCCAAACAAAAAACTAAAACAAGGACAAGCTACATCCGAATTCCTGAAACGCAACTATAAGGAGAACAAAAACCGCAATTAACCATAGCTATTATTTTTACCACCATGCGTCGCAATTTCCGTCGCAGGCCGCCCGTGATCACTCGTAGGCAGGATATTCCCGTGACAGCTCCGTATCAAGACCGAAGGCCTCAGCCCCCAATCGGTTGCATAAGATGTATTTCAGTAAAGCCGGCTGAAACTCTGGTAATTTCGCAGTGCCCAGATCCCGCCCGTCGAGCGTCCACACATCTGCCGCCGTCCTTCATCGCCCAATCGGGATTGCCAACCCAGTTGGCCGGGACTGGCCCATGGCGAGGGCTCTTTAGACCCTCTCGCAGCGTGTCCCACATTGCCCGCACACTCTATCCTCCACACTCCCGCCACCCCAGCAACGAGCTCTGGCTAGGCACCATCGTCATGATAGCACCCGTGCGATCCCCCATTGCCCAAGCACCGCACCCGACGGCGCTAACACCACAAGATGTAGCGACATCTTCAAAAATTCCAAGGCGGGCACCTAGCACTAACGCAGCGCAACGCAGCGTAATGCAGCGTAGCGCTGGCCCAACACCGCCGTTGCGAAAAGAAGGAATTGTTGTACAGCTGCATTTTTTGGCGGGGGCCGAACCTGGAGGTGTTCGGCCCCCGAACGGGGCCCCGAACGCCTAAACGTTCGGGGGCCAGCCCGCCCCTCGGTCAGGTAACCCTGGTTTTTGCGTTATTGCATTTGTTTCTCATCTTAATTTACTTACGATTGGTGTTTGTAGTTATTAATTTTTATTTTTTTTTAGTTTTATTTATTTATTTATTTATTTATTATTTTATATTTTATATTTTTTAATTTTTTTAGTTTTTTTCTAGGTTGTTGGATCGGACGTCCGGGACCCCCTGACCGTCCGGGATGTCCGACCGGACGTCTAGTCGGACGTCCAACTGGACAGGGGTTGTCCGATCTAGCGCAAAAAAAAAAAAATTAAAAAAAAATAAAGTTCTGAGAAAAATATGAAAAACATATATGTTATGTAACATAACAATACAAGCAACGTTTGCCTTGGAGTCATGTTCAAATTCGCAGTCAAACATGAGTTAAAAATCGAAAACCAAAAAAAAAAAAAAAAAAAAAATTACGATTTTTTTTTT